AAATAAATAACTTAATAGCTAGTTTTTTTTTTTTTGTATATAGGTTGCTATTACCTAGTTGATGTAGGATATACAAATTGTGAAGGCTTTCTTGCAACTTTTAGGGATCAAAGTTATCATTTGAATGAATGGCGTCCAGGTCATTAACCAACGAGTCCTAAAGAATTTTTTAATATGAAACACATGGCTACTCACCATGTAATTGAGAAATGTTTTGGGTTACTAAAAATTAGATGGGATATCCTTAGAAGTCCATCGTTTTATCTGAGTAGGATACATAATTGGATTATCATAGTTTGTTATTTGCTTCACAATTTTATTAAGAGAGAGATGACCTTTGACCCTATCGAAGATGAAATGGGTGAATATCTTCATGATAACACAATACTTCAGGAGGAAGATGCAATAAATGCTATTTACCCCGCTGATGTTTAGACTAATTAGAGAATGCAATTGGCAAATGAAATGTTTACTAAATGTCAAACATTTAGGCAGAATCAAAATTGAAGATGAAGTTTGCTTTTGTGTAGGTTTTGTTGGATAGATTACTTTTTGATAGTGTTGGAAGGTTTTCTAACCTATTGTTTAATATGTGAGTTCACATATGTGATTTTTTAGCTTTTGCAACTTTTGGATCTTTGTATAGATTAGAATAGGTTTTTAGCTTGGGTAGACTTAACAGGGCAACTTGTTTTTTTTTTTAATAGATCAAAATAGGTTTTTATCGCGATTGTAATTGTGATAATTATATTAAGATATTTATGTTTCATTTATCACTATGATTATTTATTTGATAAATAAATTTTAATAAAGTTTACTTTTGATAATAGAAAATGTCTTCATCTTCAAACGTTCCTTCTTAAAGTTCAAAAAAAGGAACAAAAAGAAACCGAACACACAATGAATATGTTGTACTAATATCTTGTTTGGTTGATCTCCATAATAAGGGAACATATAATGTAGACACCGGTTTCAAATGTGGTTATTTGTTAGAGCTCAAAATAATGATTGCAAAAAGTTTACCAAATAAAAACTTGAAGGCCAAACCTCACATAGAATCAAGGATTAAGACCTTAAAGAAAGAATCGACAATTGTATATGATATCGTACAAGGAAGATATACTAGTGGATTTGGTTGGGACAATGAAAGGAACATGGTTATTGTTGAAGATCTTGTATAGGATTCTTATATAAGTGTAAGTATGTTGTTTGAATTTGTTTACATATTTGTACTTATTTTCTTATCATTATAATACATAATAATATTGTTTTTTTTACTTTGATTAAAGTCACAAAGATGTTGCTTAGTTCAGAAAAAGGAGTTTTTCATTTTTTAATGAGTTGTCTAATATTTATGCTAAAGATCGAGCAACAAGACAAGTTGCTCAAATTCTTGTAGATGTCCTAGATAAAATTGATGAAGATGTTACTCATGGGACAGATGAAGATTTTGCATGTGAACATGAAATTGGTTTAGATGATGTGGATGTCTCTGTTACCCAGCGTCAACCATCAGTTGGTAGAAGAAATCAAAATTCTATAGTATTGAAGAAGCAAAGGACCAATGGCATGACTGAAAAAGATGTGTTTGAAAAATTTATGGATGCTGCCATTTTATTTAGTGAGAAATTAGAAAATATTGGAACTTCATTGAACCAAACTTTGGGGATTGAAATACTTGTACATAAAAAAAAATCTTCAAGATTTGAATAGCGAACTATGTGAGGTTGCGGGTTTGACAGAGGATGGAATAGATAAGGCATCTTACAAGCTAACTAATAATCCATCCCAAATGACTTATTTGTTTATTGTTCCCCTTAGTAGTAGACTTAAATGGTTGAGAAAGATTATTTCAAGACCTTGCTGTTAGAATAGTTTGATCTTTTTAAACTTTATTGTTAGTGGGTGAGAACTTAAAACTTGCTAGTTGGTTTGTTCTTTTATGACAACAATCTTGAATAATATTATGAGCATTTGTGTTCTTGAATCTTATTATGAATTTTTCAATATCTTCATCTCATATTATTATGCATAAGGTTTTTGTAAATTGTGATCTGTATGGTCTTGCTTGTTTTTGTTGTAAATTAAGGATGAGTATTTTTTTCCTCTTTCTCTAAATCCAACAAAGACATGTGGGTTTGAAGTAGCAATGAAGCTGTATTAATGCTCAAATGCAAAAAGTAAATTAGCACTAAAGGTATTATTAATAAAACAAAATTAAAGAGTAGTTATTATTAAAAAATATTACTAAATTATTTTTATATTTTGGTAAAAATATTACTTATTTATAAGAAAGAGTATTTTTTTTCTCACCATCTATTATTTGGGTATATTTATTATTTACTTGAAAAAAATTTTAATTTTAATAAAGGATATTTTTGTTATTTATGAATTATTTCTCAACTATTCCTAAAATTATTCTTGTCAACAAAATAATGAAATAGTAATAATAACAATTATTATCTTATTTCATTCTCGTGAATCAATTTAAACAATAATTATTCTTCCTTTATTCTATTCTTATGAAATAATTATTCTATTTTCATTCGATTCCTCCCTACAACCAAAGCATGCTGTTTAATTGTTGAGATGTGGCAGGCATTATTTGTTGTAGGAATTGTTACAACTGAGATGTAGGAATGAGTGGTCAAAACTGGAAGAAGTGTAAGAGCAAAAAGGGTGGAATAATGAAGTGGATTCATACGTTAATTCGTTAGCATTGAATCAATGTTCCTTCTTTCTCTTTGTGATC